GGAAGCTGCTGGAGAAGATACTGAGGGATAGGATCTATTTACATTTGGAAGAAAATGGGCTTATTAGTGATAGTCAGCATGGTTTTGTGCAGGGAAGGTATGTCTTACCAACTTGATAGAACTCTTTGAAGAAGTGACAAAGTTGATAGATGAGGGAAGGGCTGTAGATGTCATATACATGGACTTCATCAGTAAGGCATTTGATGAGGTTCCCCATGGTAGGCTGACGGAGAAAGTGAAGTCGCATGGGGTCCAGGGTGTACTAGCTAGATGGATAGGGAACTGGCTGGGCAACAGGAGACAGAGAGTTGTAGTGGAAGGGAGTTTCTCAAAATGGAGAATTATGACCAGTGGTGTTCCACAGGGATCCGTGTTGGGACCACTGTTGTTTGTGATATACATAAATGATCTGGAGGAAGGTATAGCTGGTCTGATTAGCAAGTTTGCAGATGACACTAAGATTGGTGGAGTAGCAGATAGTGAAGGGGACTGTCGGAGAATGCAGCAGAATATAGATAGATTGGAGAGTTGGGCGGAGAAATGGCAGATGGAGTTCAATCCAGGCAAATGTGAGGTGATGCATTTTGGAAGATCCAATTCAAGAGCGAACTATACGGTAAATGGAAAAGCCCTGGGGAAGATTGATGCATAGAGAGATCTGGGTGTAAGGTCGCTACGCAGGTCGATAGAGTAGTCAAGAAGGCGTACGGCGTGCTTTCATTCATCGGACAGGGTATTGAGTACAAGAGTTGGCAGGTCATGTTACAGTTGTATAGGACTTTGGTTCGACCACATTTGGAATACTGCGTACAGTTCTGGTCGCCACATCACCAAAAGGATGTGGATGCTTTGGAGAGGGTGCACAGGAGGTTTACCAGGATGTTGCCTGGTATGAAGGGCGCTAGCTATGAAGAGAGATTGAGTAGATTAGGATTATTTACATTAGAAAGACGGAGGTTGAGGGGGGGACCTGATTGAGGTCTACAAAGTCATGAGAGGTATAGACAGGGTGGATAGCAAGAAGCTATTTCCCAGAGTGGGGGACTCGATTACTAGGGGTCACGATTTCAAGGTGAGAGGGGAAAAGTTTAAGGGAGATATGCGTGGAAAGTTCTTTACGCAGAGGGTGGTGGGTGCCTGGAACGTGTTGCCAGCGGAGGTGGTGGAGGCGGGCACAATAGCGTCATTTAAGATGTATCTAGACAGATACTTGAATGGACAGGGAGCAGAGGGATACAGATCCTTGGAAAATAGGCGACCGGTTTAGATAGAGGATCTGGATCGGCATAGGCTCGGAGGGCCGAAGAGCCTGTTCCTGTGCTATAATTTTCTTTGTTCACCATTGAGAATAACTTCCATTCTGTTGTGTGGCACTATCACCGTGCTAAATGGGACAAACTTCGCACAGATCTAGCAACTCAAGACTGGGCATCCATGAGGTACTGCGCGCCATCAACAGCAGCAGAATTATACTTTAGCACAATCTGTAACCACATGGCCGGGCATATCCCCCACTTAACCATTACTGTCAAGCCAGGGGATCAACCCTGGTTCAACGGAGAGTGCAGGAGGGCATGCCGGGAGCAGCACAGGCACACCTGAAGATGAGGTGTAAACCTGGTGAAGCCACCAAACAGGACTACTTGCACGCCAAAAAGCAAAAACAACAAGTGATAGACAGAGCTAAGCGATCCCACAAGCACTGGATCAGATCTAAGCTCTGCAGTCCTGCTACATCCAGTCATGAATGGTTGTTGGATAATTAAACAACTCATTGGAGGAGGCAGCTCCACAAACATCCTATCCTCAATGATGGAAGAGCCCAGCACATCAGTGCAAAAGATAAGGCTGAAGCATTCACAGCAATCTTCAGCCAGAAGTGCCGAGTGGATGATCCATCTCTGCCTCCTCCAGTGTCCTCAGTATTATAGATACCAGTCTTCAGCTAATTTGATTTGCTCCACGTGATAGCAAGAAATGGCTGGAGACACTGGATACTGCAAAGGCTATGGGCCCTGACAACATTCCGGCAATAGTCCTGAAGACTTGTGCTCCAGAACTTGCTGCTCTCCTAGCCAAGTTGTTCCAGTGTCGTTACAACACTGGTATCTACCGGCAACGTGGAAAATTTCCCAAGTATGTCCTGCACAGAAAAAGCAGGACAACCTAACCCAGCCAATTACCACCCCATCAGTCTACTCTCGATCATCAGTAAAATGATAGAAGATGTCATCAACAGTGCTATCAAGCAGCACCTGCTCAGAAATAACCTGCTCAGTGACGCCCAGTTTGGGTTCCACCAGGGCCACTCAGCTCCTGGTCTCATTATAGCCTTGGTTCAAACATGGACAAAAGAGCTGAATTCCAGAGGTGAGGTAAGAGTGACAGCCCAAACCATCAAGGCTGCATTCAACAGAGTGCGGCCTGAAGGAACCCTAGCAAAATTGCAATCAATGGATATCATGGGGCAAACTCTCCGGTGGTTAGTCATACCTGACATATAGGAAGATGGTCGTGGTTGTTGGAGGTCAGTCATCTCAGCTCCAGGACATTTCTGCATGAGTTCCTCAGGGTAGTGTCCTCGGCCCAACCATCTTCAGCTGCTTCATTAATGACGTTCCCTCCATCATAAGGTCAGAAGTGGGGATGTTTGCCAATGATTGCACAATGTTCACCATTCGTGACGATTCAGATACTGAAACAGTCTGTGTTCAAATGCAACAATATCCAGGCTTGGGCTGACAAGACAAGTGACATCCACGTCATACAAATGCCAGGCTGTGACCATCGCCAATAAGAGACCATCTAACCACCGCCCCTTGATATTCAATGACGTTACCATCAATGAATCCCCCACTACCAACATCCTAGGTGTTATCATGACCAGATACTCATCTGGACTGACCATATTAACACAGTGGCTCCCAGAACAAGCCAGAAGCTTGGAATACTGCAGCAAGTATCTCATCTCTTGATTCCTCAAAGCCTGTCCACCACCTACAAGATACAAGTCAGGAATGTGATGGAATACTCCCCACTAGCCTGGATGAGTGCAGCCCCAACAACGTTCCAGAAGCTTGACACCATCCAGGACAAAGCAGCCCGCTTGATTGGCACTACATCCACAAGCATCCACTCCCTCGACTACCGACACTCGGTAGCAGCAGTGTATACTATCTACAAGATGCAATGCAATGCAAAAATTCACTAAAGATCCTCAGACAGCACCTTCCAATCCCACGACCACTTGCATCTAGAAGGACAAGGCATCAGACATATGGGAACACCACCACCTCCAAGTTCCCCTCCAAACCACTCACCATCTTGACTTGGAAATATATTGCTGTCCCTTCACTGTCGCTGGGACAAAATCCTGGAATTCCCTCCCTAATGGCATTGTGGGTCAACCCATAGAAGGTGAATTGCAGCGGCTCAAGAAGGCAGTTCACCACCACCTTCTCAAGGGCAATTAGGGATGGTCAAAAAATGCTGGCAAGCCAGAGACCCACATCCCACGAATGAATAGAAAAAAATTCAGCTCCTGACTGCATTACAGCCTTGGTTCAAACATGGACAAAATAACTGAATTCCAGAAGTGAGATGAGAGTGACTGCCGTTTATATAGCTAGGGTTTCTAGCATCAAGTAGATGAAGCAGTGCTAGTGTCAATGGAAACCAGGGGTAAGGTCTCTGCTAGTTAAAGTCAAACCTGGCACAAAGGAGAATCTGTGTGGTGGTTAGCGGTCAGTTATCTCACTTGCAGGACATCTGTACAGAAGTTCCTCTGGGTGGTGTCCTCAGCCCAACCATCTTCAGCTGCTCCAAGTGTGGCTGCCTGATGAAATTCTGCCAGACTGGCTGTACCTGAGGGAGGGACTGAACCAGGAAATGGAAATGTTCAGTGATGATGGCACAATGTTCAGCACCATTCCCCAATCCTCAGAGACTGAAGCAGTCCATGTCCAAATGCAACAAGGTGTAGACAATATCCAGGCTTGGGTCGAAAAGTGATAAGTAACATTCCTGTCACACAAGTGCCAGGCAATGACCATTTCTAACAAGTGAGAATCTAACAATCACTTTGACATTCAGTGCTACTACCATCACTATATCCTCTAATATTAATATTGTGGGGGATACCATTGACCAAAAACTGAACTCGACTAGTCCCATAGGTACTGCAACTACAAGAGCAGATCAGAGACTAGGAATCTTACATGAGTAATTCATCACCCCCTGACTATTCAAAGCCTGTCCACTGTCTACAAGGCACAAGTCACTTGCCTGGATGGGTGCAGCTGCAGTAACACTCAAGAAGGTTGAGATCATTCAGGACTAGGCAGCCCACTTGATTTTATACCGCAATCACAAACATCCACTCCCTCTACCACTGATGCACAGTAGAAGCATGTGTACCATATACAAGATGCACTGCGGAAATTCACCAAGACTCCTTAGCACCTTTCAAGCCCATGTCCACTACCTTTCATCTAGAAGGACAAGGGCAACAGATACATGGGAACACTACCTGCAAGTTCCCTTCAAGCTGCTTACCATCCCAGCTTGGAAAGACTTCACTGTTCCTTCAGTGACTCTGGACAGAACTTGGAATGGTATTGTGCTCTACCTACAGCACACGATTGCAGTAGTTCAAGAAGGCAGCTTACCATCTCCTCAGGACAAGTGAATGCTGGTCCAGCCAGCGATGCTGATATCCTGTGAGTTTAAAAAAGTGGTTATGTCTTAACTCTCCTCTGAAATGGCCCTAGCAAGTCCTTTTGGTTCTAAGGCAATTAGGGATGGTAGTAAATATTGGCCTTGCCAATGATGCCCACGTTCCATGAAAGAAGAACAGAAAAAGTTGAATTGAGTGAAACAGCATCACTAACTGAGGAGGTTAATCAGTTGGACAGACTGTAAAAGGAAAATGTAACAGTGCCGTAAATATTTAGGGTAGAGAAACCTTTTCACCAATTGCTTGTTTGTTTTCTGCTTCAAAGAGAGAAGAAGGACGGATTCAAGGCCAACTGAACAACTCTGACTCCAATCAGATAATTCGAGAGCTGAAGGACCAAATCACAGAATTGAAAACAGAGGTAAAGTTAAACAATTGTGCTGACTTTTGTGAACATCTGCTGTGGTCAGTTAGTGCTGTGACAAATTAAACATGAAGAAAGATGTTTCTGCTTTGGGTTCAATGTGGAAATTGCCCAGTTGGGTCCAGGTTAAGTTTCTGCTAAAATTCATTCCCTTAATTGCTGAAGTAACATTTTCCCATGAAGCAGCAGACTCAGGCAGGGTGATAGAATGTCAATGTATTTTCCACTTAGCAGATTTTTTGATGTATTCAGAAGCGGTAGCCAAGTATAAGACCGATGAAAATGGTTTTATCAGCAAAAAGTTACCATTTTCACTTTGTGCAGTATTCTACCTGAACCTGTGAAAATGACTAAAACTGTCCTGCACCACCGTCATTTAGTTTCACTGCTGCGCAGTTGACAGTTTCTTAAAACTTAAATTTTTTTTTGACCTGGAGCGATATCTGAAATCTGCCTCTGCCACTAGGGAAGTAAATGACTTTCCCAAACCAGTGAAATCTTGCAGTTTTGGCCAGATAGCGCAGTAATTTTTCAGCTGAGGCCTGATTTGGTCAAATTGAATCTTGTGGCAGCTTGAGTGATTGTATAAAAAAAAACACAAAGTAATTTAAATCACTTTTCATTTTTTTTTTGTGAAATAATGCTAGCTTGGGAATGTATGTAACCTCGTAGAGGGACTTTTGCTCTGTAAATCTTCTAAACCTGCCCAACGAATACAGGGAATCCAATACCTAGATTCATTTGGCCACACCATCTCTTTAAATCACTTAAGCCCAACTCAAACCAGAAATTTTTGAGTTTGTTTAACCTGAGATCTTCAGGCTGATTATTGATTGGAAAACCATGGTGTAAGTGACTCTTTTCACAAACTAATTCTATAGGTTTCCATTTTTTTCTCATTGTTTGCATTTTGATTTTGCAATATTTATCTAGAAAAGTATCAATTCAATCATAATCAGTCAATTGAATTGCTTCTGGATGATGAAGTGGGTGTTGGATTGGATGAGTTGGACAGATTATCTGGTGTTGCAGCTTTAGATTTCAAATTCACTGAGCCCTAGTTCATATCCCTATCTGGATTCTCACTAGACCCAAGGGTCTAGGCCCGAAACGTCAGCCTCTCTGCTCCTATGATGCTGCTTGGCCTGCTGTGTTCATCCAGCCCTGCACCTTGTTGTCTCGGATTCTCCAGCATCTGCAGTTCCTACTATCTCTCATAGTTTCAAGGTCATCATTAGTCTTTTAACAACAGATTTTATTTTTAATTTCTAATTGAACTCAAATTCCGTTATTTCACATGATACAGTTTTGA